TTGCAGGTAATGCCCGTGATGCGAAACCAGCTGTCCCTGCCCGACAGGCCAGCAGTCACCAGTATTTCAGAGGCGTTGCTTGGCGAGCGAAGTCTATGGCCGTGCTTGAACTCTGAAGGCGGAACAACTCCAACACAGGTGATCGACAAAGAGGCCGCTCATGGTGGGGCCCAGGCAAGGACGCGCGCATCGTCTTTATCTTGTCAATTGGACTAGTTAGTTCAACAGCCAAAGCGCAACCGGCCGAAGGGCCATGGCCCATTTCATTGATAGGCACGTTTTCTGAGCAAAGAGAACAAGAGCAATCGAACATGCAAAGCAACCTAAACAACACAATCTAAGCTGGAATGACAGTCCAAATGGGAAAGATTTGTACGACCCCCAGAGCAAGATAAGAGGAAGATCAAACAAATGCAACACAGCAACAGCTATACTCGGATTTGATAAAGAAGCGAACAAATCTGAGGCAAGCAACCTCACGCCCTCGTGGTCGCCAAGGCAATTAATCGATCACATCTGATTTAAGTCCAGCTTGTTGAAGACCCGCCTGGTGTATGCCTATCATAAAATACGAATAGCTGCATATCTATGTGAAACACATGTTTCAGTGGCAACAGGACAATACAACACAATTGGCAGCTGTGCAGTGCGTCTACACCAACAACAAACAAGAAATGTCCTGGGCTCCAGCTTGTTGTCCACGTCCAATTAGATCAAGTAGAATCAGCACACCCGACGCAATAACCTCAAAACCGTCCTCCTATAGTCAAGGCAAGAAGTCTTTTTCCAGTTAAAGCCTTGCAGCCCCAGTAAGCTCAGAGTCTAGGGAGTTGTTCGAACAGCTTTACAGAGGACAGGTTTTAAACGACGTCGAGTGAAACACAGTTGGCCAAGTCGGCGCAGCTGCCCCCCTCAGTCAATCTATTTGACCTAGTTGGTCCCATTGAACCCGATTGGTCCCATTTTGCCAACAAGGTCAAGACTAGCAAATCCCTGTTGTGGCCTTGATAAAAGAATTCAGCAATAGGTAGACCTCAACCGTCCGTTCAAGTGAAGACCTCTTCGTTTGGCGAAACCAATCCAACCGTCTCCAAATCCCATCCCTATCCCCGGATCCGCGCCAGTCATCCGATCTTGCGTAGTGCAAGTTCTTCAGCAATATCTGCAGGTGGGCTGGCAATGTAAGCCACCAATTCGAAGAACTATGTGTAAGAACGGTACCAAGCTACCTCCGGAACTCAATCCATTCACAGCTTCGCACTGGCGATTTGAGTGGGAATTTGGCCCTCGCTTGAGGAATCCGTCACTCAACAAATGCCTAAACGCTCGTGTTTCTTCCATCAGCCTGCGATATCCGTGCAGCTTGCGATCTCTGCACCTCGTACTTGTCCACCTTCGGGAGGCCTGCAAGGTCCAGCTCACCACTCCAAGGCCTGGAGTGGCAACTCAGACGCTGTGACACTTCCGGGCTGTCCGTGTGCTGATCGGCGGAAAGTTTGACGAACATTGAGTGGGTTAGATGGGAAAACCCAACCACTAAACCAAGCAAAAAGCTAAAAAGCTAAGGGGCCGGATGGCTGGGAGCCACCAAGTTTCCATGGAAGTCTGTGGAAAACTGGATACAACGGCATGAAGCAGCATCAAGGGCACCAGATATACTTGCTTGCCGTCCGCCCGAAGGCTTGGGAATTGGTTCTGGAAAAAATGTGGGGCTCCTTCTATGTGGCAGTTTTTTTTGGCGTCCCTTCAAAACTGCCCGAGTTTGAGACACACCCACTTGGAGGCCGACTCCTTGCGAAAGTCTTCCAGGAAGAGGGCAGGATCCTGCGTCCCAGCTTCAGTCAACATTGCATGAGTTTAGCGATTCGGCTGGAGTTCAATGGCTTTCACCTGATGGACATTTGCTGAGTATGAGATCATCTAACCAGCTTCGTGGAAACCCACGAAGAACCAAAGGACATGTTGTCAAGACAAGAAAGCTTCCAAAGCACATTGTGCAAACAGCCATTGACCGCCTTTCAGCCTCTGCAGCGAGCTCTTCATTCTGGACCTTTTGGATTTAGCTGTTCAAGCAATCCAGCTGGTGTACTTTGGAACAACTATCGTTGATCGCAACCAGCGACTTCGACCATGCATGAACAAATCGAACCGCGTCTTGCCGCGTAGTGAACACAAACACAGCCACTGCAGTCAGTATCTGCGACAGCGACTCAAGCGCGCTGCTTGCACTTCTGGGCACGATCTGCACATGTTGCAATAATTCCAAGGCCAGGGATCCCGGAGCAAAGGACCTACACGGCGAGCTTGCAGCTTTGATCCGGCATGGCTACGGTTCTACCGTCCTTGTCCAGGCGCCAAGCCCACTGCTTGTCCTGCCAACGCCATGGGAGCCTGGGATGAATAAACCGTGGACCTGGATACACCAGATCCAAGCTTCAGGGGCCCGAAGGTGCCAGATGAAAACAAAAATGAGACCAAGCTGCAACCCGAAAGTGGAGCCGTTCCGTTGCATCTCTGGCACACCCGCACTCTTCCTATCGAGAGATAGCCAACCCACACGCTCAAGTTATAAACGACGCCAAGCCCTTGAAGGGCAGACCTATCACAGGGGAGGCACTTGACATCAGTCAGGTTGCCAGCCTCCTGCAGATCTCGCAGTGCCTGGCGGGAACACTGGCAATTGCCAAATGCGCTGATCATTGAGATTCCAAAACTCAACTGCATCTTGGCCATTCAAAAAGAAGTGAGTCTTAAACCAGTTCTCCATAGCATTTGCAGCCCATGCCTAGGTCCTCCAGTGGGTTAGAAGAAGGGTACCCTTCTACTGTAGTCTATTTTGGTAGGGGAACCCTCCCCCAAAAAAGGGTAAAAGGGCTCTACCGGGGGACCTAGATGCCCATTGGCAATTCCGTTCCTGCTTCGACTCCAGGATCTGCTCGGGGCTGGGCAGCTCCAACGCATAGTCCTTAGGACGCTCAGAGGGCGTGTCCCCTGCAGCAGATTGAGATGGGAGCAACAGAGCGGTCTGAAACATGGGGAGCGGTCTGAAACATGGGGGCATCACAAAAAGCGAGAAGCCAAGTTTCGAAAAGCCGCGGGCAAAGGTTGGGGGGTCTATGTAAAGCCCATGACTACTTGAACAGTTACTGGCTGGGGTTGTTCTGTGGGGCAATCCTGTGGGTACAGCAACAGCACTGCCTAAGATTGTGTCCCACCTCACTTGCGGCTTGCTCTGACTGAAGCTTTTTGATTTGGCACCAGCGAAACATCCTCGTTGCCAAAATCAAGAGCCACATAAGCCACTGTCAAAATTACCAGTTTTTCCCTTGGACATTGGAAAGCTAATTAGTGAGTCCCCCCCTTGTCCCTCCCAAATGAACCGTGGTCTACCGCAAGTTTTAACCAACTCGCAGAAGCCGTTCATTTGAAGTCTGCAATGCGTTAGGCAAAGGATGCAACCCGGCAGCCCGAACAAATACCCTCCCTAGAACAAGCATGGAACTTGCAAGCGGGCTTCTAGGAGTCCTTTTGGGAAAATGGATGGGCCTGGATTGTGCAAGAAGGTCAACCATCAACGTCTTTTCCAAAACCAAGGACACCGCTGACCGGGTTTCTAGAGAAAACTGGTCCTCCATGCAAACACCCTTCCGGGTCCCATGCCGTCTGTGGGCACGGCGGGGTGCACATAGCTGGCAAAGCAGGTGAGTTCGTTGTCATCGAAGTAGCCCTGCGGCGAAAAGGGCATGTGTCGATGTGTAATGTTTCAAAAGGGACCGATTCCTCTAGGCTTGGCTTCCTCTTGGCTGCCCTTTCCCATCCAACAAAATGCTTGACGAAAAACATCAGAAATACCTTTTTGCTCCATCCGAGGGTCCTGCATAGAGAAGTCCTCATTCACCACGGGCTGTTCCACGAACAAAAACAACTTACAGCCTCAAAAGGCGCAAATCTAACACATCACATCATCTCTGCCCAGTGGATTTTCATGGAGAAAACAAGGGGCAGCCGATTTGTTTGGTTGGTTGAGGTTAAAGGAATCGGAACCCTTCCTCAAAACAAAGTTGAAACAAGGGTTGAATCCACTGGGCAACTAGGAATCCTACACGCCATCCCGAACAAAAATGGCGCTCTGAGTGGTGGGAGAAAAAAGGGGGTACCTTTGTTGGTGGATCCTCCAGGAAACGACCTCCAAGAGACATCCAAGGGCGCCTGTGGGTTTCAATGGGGAGTCCGATCCAAAGATGTTAAACATTAAGCTCCCAGCCACTTTCAAAGGGCTCTTGAAGAGTGCTGGGCCTTGCAACCTGTGCTCTACGGTTTGGCAGCACTCCGCTGACAAAATGAAGGCCACCGGCCTCCGCCGACTACCTTATTCAGAGAGATCATCCTGTTGCTCATCGGGCCAGTAAAAAATGGTTGCCATCACTGGAGAAACCAAAACCAAAAGTTGTCAGGCCAGGTGTGTTTTTTCGCTTTCAAGTGAGTTTTGCTCAGAGAACACCATGCTCCTTCCGCCCAGATGCTGGCAAGAACACCTGCAATGGCACTCTGCTCGAAACCTTCCGCACCTCTGGCTGCAGGCTCGATTCTAGCATCACCTCCTGCAAGGTCTTTTTCCCAAGAGCCATTTAGTTTTCTGGTGTTATAGCTCGGCGCCCTTTTTCCTTTGGGCAATAAAAGGGTCTGCAGTATTCGCATCCCTCAACTGTTCAAACGCAAAAGCAAGGGGCTCATGCACCCCCCCTGCGGCAATCTGCCGAATCGGAGTCTCGCTCAGCGATCCTCCCAGCTCAAGACCCCCTCATTCCGCGTCTCCTTCTTCTTGAAGACGCTGTAGCCTGTCCATTCCCTCAGGCGTGTCCTGCTCCCCACCTCATAGTCTCCACCAACCACGAAGACAGGCCCGCTGGTCCTCATGACCGTGATGCGCTCCGGGCCGATCCCCATGCCAGGCATCCTTCCCTTTCGCGGGCCGCCCCATGCCAGAGGTTCGGATTGACCTCCGCCGCCAGCAGCAGTGCCCTTGCCTTCCTCTTCACCCATCCGACAGCCGCCTCCGCTCTACCGTTAGCCTGCGGCTCATCGAAGCTTGACAGCGTCCGGTGCAGCCCATGACTCACCGCCCACCTTCTCAATGCTGTCGACACCAGCTCTCGTCCCCGGTCCGAGTGCAGGCGAGTGACCTCAAATCCCCACCACCGGAGCCTTGCCACCATAGATTGGGGCGCCGCAATCACCTCCACGGCTCTCCGACTCTTCAGCGGCTCCACCAGCGTGAGAGTTCTGGTGACCACTCCTTCTTGCCCCCCCGGGGCCAAGTGCTCGCCTTCCTCCCCTATTTCTTCTCCTCCCTCTTCTTCCTCTTCTCCTCTGACCGCTCCTCGCTCCTCAGCCAGCTCCTCAAACGGATCCTCGTCTCCTATCTCTTCCGCCGCGACATCTTCTTCCTTGGCCATGCCGCCCGAGACCGCCGTGACATATGAACCCACCAGCAAGTGGCGATGCCCCTCTTCCGACACCTTAAACGGGCCCGTCACATCGATCGCCAACGTGGACCATGCCGGGGGGGGCTTTTCTCCAATGGCTCCGTCCTCGAAGCCCACCCTGGTCGAAACGGTATGTGCCCGTTCTCCAAGTGAGGCCCAGGAGCTCTTCCAACGCCGTGACCACCGATGGTGGCACGCCCCCCCGCGCCTTAGCCCTCTGCCACTCCTCCTCCCGAACGTAGCTCTTGGTGCTCCTTCACCATCCAGGCCCTCCGACCAACCAGCTCTCTGCCACCCTGGGCCAACACCATCAAGATCCACATGCGCAACATCAGGATCGTGTCGCCCTCCACCTTCTTCCTTTTCTCCTCACCGATCTCCTCATATCCAAAGCGATCATCGATCTCCTCGTCCCCTCACCGGGTACGGGCCCGGCTCGAAGTGCCTACAGTAGGAGTAGGTCCGACACGGAGGTCCTCCCATCACTCCCTCCGTCCTTCCTCCCACCGCCAGCTTTTGCCAGGTAGCCGAAGGTGTCCTCGTCCAGCATGTTCTGGCCCGACAAGATACCACCTCCCGGTCCAGTTCGCCGTAGTTGAACTTCTTCGCGCTCTTCCCAGCGAGCAAGTGCAAGATCACTCCTGCCGACCTTGCATGCCTCCTCCTCGCCGCCCTGTTCCACGCGGATCCTTTCCCGCCACCAGAGCCCAGCGCCTGCTCCATGATGGGCTCCGGCACCTCCGGAAACAGCTGTTTCACCTTTTCCATCTCACCATCTCTCCAAGCCTTCGCTACCTCCCCGCTCCGGCTCTTCCTGTCACCCTTCTTTCCTTCCTGCCTTCCGTCGCTCCTCTCGGCCGACACCATCGCCCTTCTCAGAAGGCCCTTGTTGAACTCCTCCAACTCTTCGACCAACCTCAACGCCACCTCCGTAGGGACCTCGGGGCAGAATTGTCTCATCCTGACCGGTAGCGGCCCCCGGCTGGCATGTTTAATTCGGCAGATCCCCTCCTCCCACCGGATCTTGTAGCCCAGCAGATACAGCGCCCCAAGCGGCACAATCACCTGCGTGGCCTCCTGGCAGATCATGTGGCCTCCGTCATTTGCATCGCCACCTCCCGTCCGCCAGCTCTGGCACTCGCCAATCTTTGACAGCCTGGCCGCTTTGAGCTTCTTCATCCAGAGACTCCACAGTAACTGCATTGCCTCCGCCACCAGCTTGTTTCCGCTCCTCCTCCACAACGACTTCCTCATAGTCTTCACTCTCCGCCATCCCCAACCCATGACTCTTTCCTCCGGCCGCCTTCCTGACCGCTCCTCGATCCCCAGCCGAAGTCGTGACGCCCCTCTTCGAAGCATCCCCTCCACCGCTCACCGCCTGGCTACCAGCCGCTCCTCCATTCTGAGGCCCCGGGCGGGGACACTAGGCCTTCTTGTGCTCCTGCCGGTCCAAGCTATCCCACACATGGGCAAACTTGCAGTTCTTCCCGAACCGGCAGCCCGCGTCCGTGGCATATCATTTGCAGGCCCTGGTCCACCACCCTCTGTTTCCCCGGAGTAGCTCCTCCTTGTCCCTGCTGCCTCCATGGGACCGTCTCCTCCTTGCCCGCAACACCCATCGCCTTGATCTTGGGCGCCCCCTCCTTCCCTCCTATTGAGAGCTCCGCCGTCTCGGATTCCGCCTGGAGATACTCCGCAAAGCTCTCAACTCCCTCCTGCGTCGGCCTGGGATCCAGGCTCAGCTCGGCCCTCACCGTCGACATCCGGTAGCTGCTCTGCTGATCCAACTTCGACAATGCCGCCGCAAACTTGTCCAGGGCCGACACCAGCAGCGTAGCGTCCGGCAGAGCCACTCCCAGCTCCAACGCTCTCCTCCGCCAATGCCTCCAACTGTTTGGCCACCTCCGAGCAGTGCGTTCAGGATCTACTGCCTCTCGGATGCTCCTCCCGGCTGATACAAGATGTACAGCCTGTAGATGATGTTCACCATGCTGAGCTGCCTGTTCGCGACCAGCTCCTTCTTCACCTGCTCCGGGAGGGCCTTCAAGACCATGGCCACCCCCCTCTGTTCCGTCCGCGGCAAATCCAAACAGACAACCGGCAGCTCGGGCTTGATCCGCAACCGTTCCAGCGGACTGGCCACCAACCACTCTGCGTAGGCCACCTTGGCGCTGTCGCACACATCTTCCCACCACATAGCGCTGTAGGTGGAGATGTCCTTCACGTTGTGCTCGATGGTCGCCATCCAGTCACCAAACGTCAGCAAACTTCCACGCACAGGGCCATTCCTCGTCCGGCGGAGGTCCTTCCGGCAACCTAGTCCTACCAGGGGTTCTTTCCAGCTTCTGCCTTTTCCGCGGGGGTGGCGGTGGCGGTGTCTCCATCCTCGGTGGCTTCACCTCCTCTTCCTGCTGTGGCGTGTGAAATTGCGGCTGCGGCTGCTGCTCCAACACCAAGATCTGGTCCGTCAGCAATCCACATGACGTTCAGCTTGCAGCGCCCTAGACTCCCATAGCTCCGCCATCCGCTTATGCTGCTCCGCCTCACTCTCAATCACCACCTTCTCGAGCTCAAGACGCTCCACCTTGTTCTTCAGCTCGTTCCTTTGCCTCAGCGCCTCCGCCAGGTTCATGCTGACCGTTCCGTACTCCTCCACGAACACCCGGTCCAGCTCCTTCTCATCTGCCTCGCAATCCACCCGGTCCTTGGCGCTCCCTGCGCCATCTCCTCGAGGCGTCACCTCCAGACCGCTCCTTTTCTTCTCCATGTCTTCCTTGACCGCCTGCAAAGCCCGCTCTCTTTTCTCCTCCACGGCACGCTCCTCCGGTGTCATAAAGGCTCTGGCCTTCCTCCTCTGCGCTGCGGTCTCCTCCTGAGCAGCCCTCAAAGGTGTCCTCGCCACTTCCTCCTCATCACCGGATTCCGGAACCGGCGGCAACCCTTCCGGTCTTGCTTCTCTCAACCTCATCTCCTCCTGAACTCTTTCAGACCAGAAAAAAAAATTCTCCACCTTTCCTCTCTACCGACCTCGACCTTCGGGTAGTAGAGCTCGGTTCCGTAGAGCTCCCTCTCCCGGATGCCGTAGGGCTCGCCTTTGAAGAGCTCTCCCGCCCGGATCCCATAGAGCTCAGCTTCGAACTACTCCATCGCCTAGATGCCGAAGCGCTCCGCGATCTGTCCTCTGCTTCCACCACTTGTTCATCATCCATTCCCGGCCTCAGCGCCTGCGGCACACCTCCTCTGGTTCTTGACGCTGATCTTGCCCGCGAAACATCTCCGTGATCTCCGCCCCGGCCATCTGCCGAATGGGCATCCCGGATTGCTCCACCGCCCATCGGCCCTTCCTTCTCAGGCTCACCCGCCTCGTCCGCCACCAGCGCGTCGTCTCCGGCCGGTGCCCGGCTCTCCTCAGCTTCCCTGCCAGGGCTTACCCGGCCGGAACGCCGCCTCCTCATCAGCTCCATGTGCGCGAGCAGTTTGGGCTCATAACCTGTTATAGCTCGGCGCCCTTTTTCCTTTGGGCAATAAAAGGGTCTGCAGTATTCGCATCCCTCAACTGTTCAAACGCAAAAGCAAGGGGCTCATGCATCTGGAAAACCCTTTTTTGGGGTGCCCATATAAAATTGCGAAGGCCAAATTGTGACAATCAGTGCACGGGACTAGCCAAGCTCTGGAGACCGGATTATTTTCATGAGCACCACCTCAGCCAGCATTGGCCTTCACTTCTGACTACCAAGGTTTTCTGTGTTGCAGAATGCGCAAGCAACCAGAGTATGAACGGATCCGCCACTTGCCCATGGTCATTTCAAGCAATACACATTGACATGATTGAAATGACTTATTTGATCAAGGCACGTCAAGGCTAACTATCTTCAAATCCTGGGCTTCTTCTACTGGCTGAAAGCAATCCTGGTTGAGTTAAGGATGGGCTTGTAAGCTCCAAGCAACCACAACAGCCTTACTTTGTCACTCATGGTCTGATGTGTTGCCAGACTTCCACTCGATTGCCAGCAAATAACTCAGCGAGAAAGTTTTAACCACTGAACCCGGACTTCAGATTCCTGCAAGCAAGATAGCAGGCAACATTGACGCTTGCAGGCACGGACTTGATTTGCTTGAGATATGGTCGTGGGTCAAACATGGGTACTTCAAATGGAACCCTAGTAAATCGAAACAGGGACTAAAACCTGCGGCCCCCTGGTGAATTAATTTTGATCCATACCCATATGGGCCTTATGCACGACCTCACGGCCTAAGGACACAATGTGAACATTGTGGCCGACTTGTTTGCAACATGAAACAGCAGCAACACGTTCTTTGTTTCGTCACCACCTGCAAGTGTAAGACATCGATTCTGCTGCATCACTTTCCGACATCTGCACAGCGGTGTAGGTGAAATGGCAAAGCAGGTTGCAAAGGCAAAAGATTCTGCAAGGGTCTACTGTTTCGTTTAAAGGACAAACCCATTCCAGAGCAGGACATGCGCTACACATGCAGCACTTGGCAAAGCATTGTGAGATTTATGACGCGCCATCGTTCGTTCAAATGCTTCGAATGCGTAGCTTGGTAATTTGGGGTTTGCAGTGGTATTGACAGGATCCGTGTTTGCATTGGGAATCTTCCCTTCGCGTCAGCTCCTCCTCGTGCAGCTTGCACGCGAAAGGCCCGCGGAAGAGCTGTAGGCTCTTGTAGGGCGAAGCTGGCAAAGCAAGTGCGAGATTGAACAGACTGGAGCATGATCATACTGGGCATTGCATGGTCTACAGGGGATCACTACTTGCAAATCACTACCCTAAGCCAAAGGAGAAATAAAGGTTGTACAAGGCTTGTATACTAGGCTTATACAAGGGGTGTATATATATATATAATCATACACATGTACACATATATGTATGTATATATAGACCCCCCGAAGGGCCCACCTTCTACTCGTTGCACAAAATAGATTTATTTGCAGAGTGTCTACGTGGTTTGCAAATGCCTTGCAGCCAGCACTGCCATTTACAGTGTTTTGTGAGATTTCTTATATTGGGCCATATGTTCTTTGTGTGCTTGATGCAAAAACACGAAAAACGGAAAGCGGTTTCAGATGCAACTTTGTCAGTGTTGAAAACACTGTTTTTTGCAGTGCGCAAAAACACACCTGTCTGTTTGCATTGTTGATGGTTGAATCATCAAACACTCCACAGGCTCAAACATGAAAACAATCCAAATATGAAAGCTCCAAAACCTGCACAGGCTCAAACAAATGCCAAGCATGCAAAACCCAGATGCAATGTCAGAGGTCAGGGCTTCTTTGGTATATGCATGTGTTGCATTTGTTTGAGCCTGTGCAGATTTTGGAGCTTCTTGCTTTGGATGTTTTGCATTATTTGAACCTGTGCAGGTTTCAGAGCTTTTAGCTTTGGATGTTTTGCATTTTTGAGCCTGTGCAGGTTTCAGAGCTTTTAGCTTTGGATGTTTTGCATTTTTGAGCCTGCGAAGGTTTTAGAGCTTTTAGCTTTGGATGCTTTGCATTTTTGAGCCTGTGCAGGTTTTGGAGCTTTGGGTTGTTAAACATGCACGGCCTCAACAAATGCAAAACAAATCCTCAGCCTTTACTTGTTTCTGAAGAGTGGGAGACAGATTGCCTACGGGCATCTCTGTCCTACTGCTGCAAGGTCTGGACAAGTTCTTGAGAAAGAGCGCATTGGAGGCGTTCAGGGCCGTTTCCAGACATATTTCACGGGCTTCTGACATCGGAGCTACTCAATAAAAAAGAAAGACCTTGAATGACCTGGTTTGAGTTTCTGGCAGCAAAGTAATCCATAAAAGGAACTGTGCATGAAGTATAGGTCAGTGACGTCAAAACGACAAAAACATGCGTATATATATATATGGACATTCCTGCTGTTTATGGTCTGTACAAATGAATGGAGCATATGTATATATATATCCGCCGACATTGCTCGGCGTGTCGGACACCTAAGAGAGGATAGAGGATAACCCCCCCCCCTCCCGACGTCTGATACGTGGGGGGGGGGGGCCCCTCCCCCCCCCCCCAAGGACCGCGCGGCAATTTGATGACGTTCCACTAAACGTAGTCTTCGGGGACCCGGTGTCGCAAAACAGGGGTCCCAGGCTCGATTCCCCCTGCCGGCTTTTTTGCTGGCTTGGGCTTCCTGCATCCTTTTGCCGAAAATCTGGCAAAACTCTGTGTTTTTGGACATCCTCTTTGCGAAAACGCGGGAAAAACCGTGTATTTTGCGG